GCCACTTGGTGAAATATTTCATCATCACACAAATGTACCTGTTTCTAGCATGAGTTTGAGGCAAAGGACCAGCAATGTCACTTGCTACTCTTTCCATTGGTGTGCCAACTTGATATAACTTCATTGGAGCACATCCTTTGAAGGTTGGGTCCCCTTTTAGCACAACATGTACTGCAGGTCCTGCACCATTCTTCCACATCTTGCCTCATACCTATCCAGTAAAATCTGTGCTGTAGGTGACTCGATGTCTTCTTAACTCCAAGCTGTCCTCCTGTTAAACTATCATGAGATTGACGCAGCACAACTTCCCGTAATTTTCTCGGTATAACCGTTTGCCAGGTCATCACTTTCCCATCTACAGTTTCCCATCTCTGGACAAGAATACCATTTTCAAGCTTCAACTGGTCCCATTGTGACCAATAGTTTTTTGTCACAGGGCTTAAGCTAGATACCTTTACCCAAGCAGGGCGCAAAACATTTGCTTGTAGAAAATCAATTATTGGCTTCAAATCCTGGTCTTTCTCCTGTTCTGCTTTAATATCTATACTTGATTCCACTTCACCATCATCAACTCCTTCAGTCACTTTGACTTCAGCTTGATGGCAGCTGGTTAGTTCAACCTCTCTTTTGCAGCAATGTCTGCAGTCATTTTTGCAGGATCTTCAGCTCTGTCTGTTGGCATTTCCATGAGATTTAACACACCCAGCAATACTTACCGGAATTTGGCCTTTGTTGTTTCAGACGTTATTTAATTGCACACTTCCTCGGTAGTAAGTAGTCCAACCCTAGTATGCATCGGTTGTCAATGTCAGCCAAGTATACTTTGTGTCTGTCCTTTATGCCCATTAGCTCAATAGTTACCCACACTGGTTCCCACAACCTTGCATAATGTCCTGTCGCACCACAGAGCTTCTGTATGGCTTCTGGTACTCCTTTGTGATCCAGCACCTAGATACTCACAAGGGTTTGCTACACATTGTCTACATGACAGGAAAGCTGGATGGCCAAAGGTGCAACTTTGTCATAGATTCTGCATCTCAGTGAAAGTCCCAACAGCTAAGTGTAAAATGCCAAGAGCAGCTTTCAGAGAAATTTGAAGGACTTTGCTGGCACTGTAACAAACCTGGGCAGAAGAGAGCTCAATGCTGGCAAGTTCAACACAGGGAAGATGTCATGGCAAGAAAGGCTGCTACCCAGAAAGGTTGTTGGAACTGTGGAGAGCAAGGACACATGAGGAGCCAGTGTAAGAAGAATACTACGAATAAGTCAGCCTCGAGAAAACCAGTAGTGATTCGTGTTGAAGGATGCCTACTAACCCCCATCCCTTTTCTGGCCTTGAATCCTGATGACTGTACCAACCTTGGTACCTCTGTGCTGGACTTAACATAGGATTCGAATTCAAGAGCTCTGGCCATTGCATCCTGCATAGTAGAGGGGTGTGCTTGCTTGATTTGTATCTTCAGTTGTGGTCT